ATTGAATTTTGATGGTAGCTCGTTGGGGAACACAGGCCCTGCAAGTTTTAGTAGTGTGATTCGTGATTGGCAAGGGAATGTTTTACTTGCATCTGCTGGGCCGTGTGGTTCTATTACAACAAACCACGCTGAGTTATTGGGAATGTTGCATGGTTTGAAAATCATGTTGGCAAGGTACGCTGGATATGGTTTTATTATTAAAGGAGATTCGTTGAATGTCATCAAATGGTGCAAGAAAGAGCAACGTTTCCCGTGGCAACTTAAATTGATAGGCCTGAAAATTTTCGATTTGTTGGCTTTAATGACGGTCTCCCTAGCCACTTGTATAGGGAGACAAATTCAGTAGCTGATTCTTTGGCTAAGAAAGGCACTGTTTTAGATGTATTGTTAGTTGCCGTTGATGTAGTTTTACTGATGTAATTTGCTTATTATGAATAAATCTTGAACTTTGTCAAAAAAAAAAAAAAGATTAGAACTTGATGCAAACCACGCCCGTAAAAAATTTGGTACTTTTAGTGGGGTTTGGCAGTTTGTCCAAATCAAATTGTAAGTTTGCCTATTGAGGGCCAAAATATTTTTAAAATAAAAATAAAAGCATGAATTTATCAACAAGGGCAGTAGCCTCAAAAAAAACACTTTTTTTATTTTTGAACGTTGGCCAACATACAATAAAAGGGAAATTTATCAACAAGGGCAGTAGCCCCAACAATTTTTAATTAAAAAAATTTTGAACGTTAAGGACAATGGACTAGACATTTTATTTTTATTTTTATTTTTATTTTTATTTTATTTTATTTTTTTTATCGTTGAAGATAGTAACTTCGACATTACCCAGCTCCAAATGTGGAATCCTCCGATGTCCGCTCCCTAATATGTCAACCTGGGGTTGGGGTGTGCCATTTCTCCGCCCAAAGTTCAGTAATGACAGGAGTGACACAAACCAGCCCCCCATATCGATAGATAGCAGGGTTAGAAAGAAAGAAGTCTGTGACATCCATATGAACCCTACAATCCCCCAACTTGGATCACATTATTAAGGGTTCTTGTCATCTTTTTCTTTCTTTTTATTTTGGTAACGCAGGTGGATCATTGGGACTTATATAAGTGATTTTAAAAAGGGTGTGATTTGTATGGAGCCTAGGCTCTAAGGAATGAAATTAGAGCCTACCATTAAATAGTATCGAGAAATATCGTTTATGTTGGAAATGTGGCCTATCAGGCCTTTTTTCCTCAGAACTTATTATTTTTTAATATAGTATAAAAGTTATATTAAAGTATATGTGAAATGTTATGTGGTTAACACGAGGCAATACCATATACTTTGATCCATTTTTTAGCTTTAATAAGATGTTGCATTGGAGGAAAAACTCAGTATTACCGGAGGGAAAACCCAGTGGAGTGTTTGGAATTGGATTCCTTATAAGAATTTGTTTTTATATTACAGATATACAAAGTTTAGTTAATTTATAAATATCTTTTATCAAATTGTGGAAATGCTTTGATGACATCCTATTATATGAGTCATTAGCATAGTATTAACAGTTTGGTGACAACTTGTTAAACTTAATTAACTGCACTTAAGGGAATTAAGGCATGAAGTACACTTGGATCTCAACTCCAATAGACTATGAATGTGAGAGTTACAAAATAAATGTGTTTTCTATATAATGAGGTTAACCCCTTAAGAAAAGATAAAGAAAATTATAGAAAAATAGATATGGAAGGTAAATGATATTCATCAAAGATAACTCTCAAGGTTTCATGTCACCGCATGGCTTGATCTATAGAATTTGGTATGGAACCTCAAGTTCGTAGTGTGATTTAAGGACAGATCCGAGTAAGTTTTTTTTTTCAATTTTATTTACTTATTTATTAGTATTTTTATTGGGACTAACAATTTCAATACTGTAAATCTTTGTGATAGCCTTAATATATATTTTCTTTATTTATAAATTTTAAAGCTTCAAAAATTATATAGTTGACATATCTATGAAAACTTGAAAATTGATAGCCTAAATATGCGTTACAAAATATACTATTTCCAAAACCTGAAATTCATTTTTTTCTCATGTCCATACATCTTGATGTCGAGATGATCAATTTGAGGATATTTGGATATCATAACAACCTTTTCTAATGAAATTTTTGATGTAGGCTCTAATTTGATTGTTTAGAGCCTCGGCTCTTTATAAACTTCTCCTTTTAAAAAATGTCAAGTCAACACGGAATTGTACAGTCTTACTTAGGAATCAGTCACCAGTTCCGCTTCGATGTATACATAGGAAAATGGTTGAGCCTAGAAAGGAATCGACGATTCTGCATAGTAAAATGGTGATGCTCAACAGTAAAACGGCAATCCGGACCGCCCATTGGCCAATCAGGACCGGATTTTGGCTAGTTCAATGTTTTTTTTCGCACAGTAAAATGGCGATCCGAACCACCAATTCCCCGATCCGAACTGGGTTTTGGGGTCGAAATCCAAGTCACCGATCAATCCATTTTTCATATCCCTATCATACTTCTTTTCTTTTCCCCCTCAATGATCGGGTTTAGTACTGGAAGGCAATTTTCGGGACATCAGAAAATGCTTGGAACAGTGGGTACACTCCTAGAATATGTGTGAGTTCACGCATGTGGAATGCAAAATAAAAAATAAAAAGGCTTCTGTAGAATTATTTTAAGCCACAGTTTTTTCGACAAACAATAACGTACCAGGCCTTATAAGATGGAATATCAGCCTTAATTTATTTCAATCATAAATAACAAGCATGACCTACACCAAATGTGAACCGAGGCTATTGTATCCAAGTACTTTTAATGAAGATTCACGCGGTTCAAGTATTTTAGAAGACCTGATTTTTGAGGAACAGCAACCACAAGCTTATATGGATGAGCGAGCAGGACAATTAAGATGTTCCTAAATTTAATTCATGTTTGTTCTTGGTTATTTTTGAAGGAGAAAAGGTTACATGCGGTGTCATCTACGTATAAAGCACATTATTATCATCGTCAAAGTCTTTTTTTTTTGTCATTCTGCACTATTAAGGATCATACCTTCAGTTTGGCCATAAGTCCCTATATTTTTTCCCTCTACTTCGAACTATGCCTTTTTGGGTCTACCCGTTGCCCTTTCTGAGCTTTCCACTTGAACTAACGTACACCTCCTAACATGTTCTATGCTGGGTTTGCGCCATACATGACCAGCCTATCTAAGTCTCTCTCTCTCATCTTAAACTCACACCTCCTAACAGGTTCTATGCTGGGTCTACACCACATATGGTCATCCCATCTAAGTCTACTCTCTCTCATCTTATCGTCTAATAGTACCGTACCTAAATTTTCTTGAATGTATTTATTTCGAATTATTTCCCTTCTTGTCTTGTCACTCATCCATCTCAACATCCTCCTCATCTTCACTACATTCATTCTATAGGTACATTGTTTTTTTACTGCCCAACATTACACAGTATAGAACAAAGCTGATCTCACAACTGTCTTATCAAAATTGTCCTTTAGCTTCATTTGTATGTGGCAATCATATAAAATTATGGTTGTACATCTCCACTTCGCCCACCTAACTCTAATTCTACGTGTGATATATTCATCAACCTCTCTATTTTCCTGGATTATCGACCCACAATATTGAAAATGTGGTCTTTTGTTATTTTCTTACCGTTTACCTCATTGTCTTTACTCATATTATTACTAATATATTTCATATACTCTATCTTAGTCTGGCTAATTTTAAAGCCTTTAGATACGTCCAAAGTTCGGGTCTCATCGATCAAAACTGTCATCTGTGAACAACATGCACTACTACATCTCATCTTGTAGGTGCCTTATTAAGTCATCAATACCTAAGACGAAAAGGTATGGGCTCAATGCTAACCCCTGATATAGATCTATTATCACTAAAAAGCTCCCTTGTCTCTCTACTAGATAGTGCTTCATCATACACATCTCTCACCAAGTCGATATAAGGTCAGGAGACTCATTTATTTTCCAACACCACCAAATCAAAGTTCAATATACTCTATCATAATATTTATCTATATCAATAAAGACCATAAGAAGATATTTCCTCTTCGCCTTAAACTTCTCAATCACTTACCTAAGTACAAAAATAGTTTTGATTATTGACTTACCTGACATAAAACCAAATCGATTTTGTGAAACACTTGTTTCATGCGTTAATCATTACTCAATCACTCTCTGCAGCTTCATAATAATGCTCGTAAATTTAATCTCTTAACAGTTCTTACAATTTTGTATGCCTTACTTATTCTTTTAAATTTGTATCACAATATTTTTCCCCCGTTCTCTCAATACCTTGTTAGACAATTTGACCAATCATTCAATATCAACCTCCCTTATGCACTTCCAAACATTTATTGAAATACCATGTGATCCTAAAATCTTTTCTACCTGTATCTTTTTCAAGCTTCTTTCACTTTCGATATCTTAATCCTACGAATGTACCTATGACCTCTACCCTCATTTATGTTAACTGTTCCTTCTACCGCTATATTTTCTATTTTCTCTCATTTTTGTTGAGCCAATAGATACAATTCGACCGTTACATTTTCTCTCATTTTTGTTGAGCCAATAGATACAATTCAAACATAAATTTGTTTCTAAATATCTGATCATGATCGTATGGCTCCGAGCACTTTAGTTTTATGCAACAACATTTGGGCCATGTACACCTCTCGTAGGGGTGACTATGATAAAAATAAGAAAACAATTGCTTTCTTAGTCACAAATATTTAAAACAATCCGTTCACATTCGGCAGCTAAATAAAAATCAGATATTGGCTCAAGCTACAGTTTCCAAACATATTTCAAAACCAGTAAGTCCCATAATTTTTTCAAATAACCTCAATACAGGGAAGCGCAGTATTTATTTTTGTGAACCACTGAATTTAATATCAGTTTTGTATCCTCGTAAGTTTCATGCAGATACCTTAAGAAATACTTTTCCTCACATTCATCAAACAAAGGAAAAGACCAAAGGCAAATACTTGTGTTATTGCAAAAAAGAATTCTAACATGCCTAGCTGCCATGCTTTATTTCCTCATTTGGGATCATAGGGCCTTTCTCTCTTTACTGGGAATCTTATTTTTATGTTTATAAACAAAGAATGAATATGAGCTTGAAAAATCAAAGATCCTTCCTCTCATTTCAACTAGAGGCAGCAACCTTCGGTTCCTCGTCACTGAGAAAAGAGGAGACAACCACTGCTTGCTGAACAATAAAACCAGCCTTTTGACATGCGACTTTGAGATCCTCCGCTTGTGATGGTCCTTTGGGACACAATGCGATTACAGCCCCACCACTACCAGTAAACTTGGCAGCAGCACCAACACTACGAGCCACCTCAACCATAGAGATATTGAGGGAACCAAGGGCCTCATCTCCAAACATTAGTCTGCACCAAGCAAGAAACTCTGTTAGTTCATCTCTGTTAATCTTCTTCCTTTTTATTCTCGTTCTCCTGCAAACAAGGAGAAATAGCATATGTGTGGAGGTCCTGAAGTTTAAGAACATTATCATTATATACAGAATGACAGAATTACCAAAAGGGTGAGGTCCGGCATAAAACGTCAACCTTAAATAATAAAAGCAAGGCGCACCTCTAAATCTCGCTAAAAGATACAGTTCCAGTGCCAAAAACCCCTATGATGGTCTAAAAAACTATTTTCACTCCTGATTATGAAATTTATTGCTCCAAGAATGGTGTAGCTCAAGCATATCTTTAAATATCAAAACATTATGACAATGGATGGTCTAGATAATGTATTGCAAGATACACCACTTCCAGGACTTCAAATCTTTTTCTATTTTTTTTTCATAACCATAGATCTTGTGGTCAAGATAATTACTTGTAGGGTTTTTCAACGGCAAAACCTCCTTCTCTGGTGGATTTTTTAGGTGCACCTTACCTCTACAATATAAGGTTGACGCCTTATATAAACATGCTTCTTAACAGAAAAGAACCAAGGTAAATATGGCAATGGTTAAAGGATAGGCATAATATGACAAATATGTGACGAATTGACAAACAGTATAGTCATTAGTTTATCACTGTCCCATCAATCGGTTGGACTGTGATGATATGCGAGTAATTCTACTCCTGAACTATTAATTCATGCTCTATTGCTGTCCAAGCATTAGCTCTTCTGGTGGGAATCCGCCACTACAATTCCTCTTGGGGCCTAACTATAATAGTGGAGGGGATTTGAAGAATGTCATAGCTTGGTCCTATAATCCATCCCAAGGCCCGTGGAAGGGGAATGGGTTTCTTTATAAGATTTCCCACCTTTGCAGGGCTACGCATGTGGTTTGCAAGCTTACCTGGGGAGAGGCAGATGTGGCAGATGCTCTAGCTAAGGAAGGTGCCTCTCAGCAGACCTCACATGAGACATATGCCACCTTTTTGAGCTCTAGATAGCAGCTTTGTTTTCTCATATACCAATGCTTGTACAGCTTGTATAGCATTTTTTGGAACCCGTAAGGGATTTTTGATATAAGAACACCCGGACCGTGAGAAGTTCATTTTTATGTATTCTCTATACCATTATCAATACCGTTAACATTTTCAAAAAAAAATATTTGGTAAGGAGCCACTCTGCAGCCATCACCATTCGAACCTATGATGTGATCTTCCCCTACGACCAAAATATTCCCCCAGTCATAAGGGTCAGGCCATCAGACTACGATTTTCCAGGACTAAAATGCAACTACACAACTGTAATTCATAAATAGAAGCTTAACCTTCGAAGATCAAAGTTGCGATTCATAAGTTCTGCAAGCTTATCATTATCCTTTTTCAGTAATGCCTCACGACCCTGCAATGCAATATTTGCAACTTCCTCCATGGATGAGATAATTAACGGGTCACCATCAAGCCACCTCTTCTGAACAGTACTATGCACCTGCATTAATGGGATGGGAGAGGAAGATCGCAAACGTTGGCATGGCAACCAAGTCCAGAATCCTTTATATGAAGGATTATCGAAATACCAACCTTTCCTGAATCACTTGGATTTTCAGCATATATGAGATAGAAAGGTGGAAGGATACTACGGTCCATAGGTGTGTACAACCCATGGCCCAACTTATCCATATGTTCCTTGCTGAAGTCCTGCGAGGTCAGATCACTTAGTGAAATGATTATGTAAACGGCCTCTGCCACCAAAATGACATCCATGACATTTTAGTGTATGACTTTTTTAGCAACTTTAAATTCAGGTATACCATGTAGACAAGCCCACCATAAACTTGTGTGACTCGATCTTGGAGGCCCGCAACAATCCCTAGTTCCTTCTCAGCATTAAGAATCAGATTTGGCCTGATTTCAACTTTAATCAAATGTCTCACTTTGTAGAAGTCCAGCAAGCAATTAAGAGTAGCACATACAATTGCACTTGAGCCTGAAAGCCCGGCCTAAAAGTTCAAAATAATACAAGGTCATGATCAAATATGATATGTAAACAATTTCAATGTTTTAACTTTTAGGAATTTAAAGCACCAAAGCATCCTTTTAATAAATAAATAAATCAGAAGAAATCTAGACAACAAACAACAAAAAGCATATGTCAAAAATTTCAAATTACTAAGCTGGTTTTACGAATTTCCTTTTTTCTTGAGAGAGGTTTGCTAGTGCTGCAAGACTGGGAAAAGATCTTTATTGTTTTCTAATATTACTAGGAAATGATCCATAATATATTTTAAACAAATGGACAACACGAGTACATTACAGGTGGCTTTTCTCCCACAACATGCTACTCCTGTAGTGGAAACAGTACATAAACGGAATCTCTTTGACTTTCTCACTGCAGACATCCTGTTACTAACTCTTCACTTTCTTTACATTTCATTCCAATAATCTGAGTAGAAGAACCAAGTACAATCCCAAGAACCAGAAACTTCTAATCAAGGAATCCCTTAGGACTAGGGTTATCCTACTAGATGGCCTACAACTCTTAACACCATTGATCCATAACTGCAGAACATGCTTAGATATGAAAAAAGCTAATTTACTACTCACCCTAATTAGCGATTTGTCTTACCACGCATTGTATTTTTCTGTAATCCAATAGTTTTCACCATTTTCTCAATCCCCCCAATCTTGGTAAAGCTACACCAAATTCTAAATGGAAATACACAATGGAAGACAAATTGATGACCTTGAAGAATGGAACCTGGAAACAGGCACAGGCCTAAGAGGAAAAATATCAACTGGTTTGACTGCAAATGCATCTACAAGTTGAAGTTCAGACCTGACAGTACCATTGAAAGGTATAAAGCTACACTTATGGATAAGGGTTCACCCAAACATAGAGTGAACTACAGGGATTCACAGACCAATATTATTCACCCAGACAGGGTGAACAAAATTATGTTGATAATATTAGTCTTGCTGGGGAGGAGATGATGTCAACGGCATAAAAGCCCAAAAGGGGCACATAAAAAGATTGTTTCGAGTGGGCTAGCACTTAAAGAGTGGTTCAGGACCACATGAGCAAAGGATGGAGATAAACGAGTCTAATTGATTCAAGCAACTTAGATTTCTACCCAAACAATGCCAATTGTCACTCAAGCACACTTCACGTCTTGAACCTATAAAAAACTATTTGCGGTTATAGCCCCACAATGTTACACACCCTAAAAGGTTCCAGAGGCAAGTCAACTAAACAAAATCATGATCAGCAAATATTGAGACCATAATAAATACTAAAATATGAAGTCAAAAAACAATGTTATAGTGGAGTGGTAAAACTTCAATGAAGAAAGTCATGCCACAGTTCTAAGGCACCTTCAAAATATACACAAGATAGCTGCTATACAAAATGATTGACACCAACTCAACCAAGGAATGCATGACATAGGCAACTATGTTCGGTAGCAAAAGAAAAAGTGTTTACAAGTTTCCAAATATTTTAAACAGTAACAGGCATCTATGAGTATGGAACATGGACAATCAAAGACTCCTGTGTCAAATATTTCAGTCTGAGTTTATGGAACATAACAATACTAGCAAATATCTTATACATAAATGATATACCTTAAAAATATAATGGAGGTATATGAATCGTCCCTTTACAACCAGCCATGCAAATCTTATTATTGAGGAGCTACCAGCAAACATATTTCCATGTCTTGAAAGTAAAGATTGCAGTTAAAGACAGTAGCTAGAAAATCTCATGCCGTTAAAGACAGCAGCCTTAGCGAAGCTTATAACACTTTTAGAGAAAAGAATATCAAATGAAAGTCAGAGAATTTACAACGAATAAATGAAGTAGCAAATGCAAGCAGTAGAAAATTTTGATGACGATGGCTATTATTTCCTTAAAATCAGCTATAATTGAGATCTTCACTGAAATTACAGATTATGTGTACCTTGAATTGTACTTAGAGTAAGCAGGTAATACTAATATCACAGTTCCTTAAAGGGAGAAGAGTTACGAATAATATTGTAAGATTTTTTTGAAAAAAAAATAATAGTCTAATTAACGTTCTAATTGGTGCGCCACTTAGTTATACACTATTATAGCTACACAATTACCTGCCGAGGAATATTTGTGTCATAAGATAATGTAAAATTTCCACCATGTAAAGCAATTCCCTTATCAACACAGTGGTTGAAGAAAATTTTGCAGATTGCCATAAGAAGTCTAACTCCTCCATAAAAACCTCCATTTTGCACCCGACCTACCTGAAAGATAAATAAAATGATTAAGCACGTTTAACACGCAATAGCATAGTCATGAAATTTTCTTCTTGCGGTAGGCTTGGAAGGAATATACATGTTTAACATCATTCTCATAGAAATCAATTATTTTGGAAACTAAAAAAATGCTTGTTACATTATGTGTTAAGAAAGTCTATAATTTTGTGCTAGACATGACATTGCAATAATCTAAAAGCTTTTCTCAAGAATCCCAATGCCAAAGCAGTTGAGAATGCTTGAGAATGCTAGTAAATGGATAATAAAATGCCAAAAAAAAAAAAACACATGTCACTCGAAATATTGGCTTATTTATACTTTCACACTGTTGTAAAAAAGGAAATCAATGCACTCGGTCTTAACACCATGCATGCTTCCAAATCATACTTGACCAGACAACCCACAAACTGAAATCATACTTGACCAGACAACCCACAAACTGACAAACTAAGATTCATAGGTCCACCTCCACATAGCACACCAATTCAGCGAATGAGGCATTACCATCACATTTTAGATAAGCGAATGAGGCATTACCATCACATTTTAGATACTACATCACATAAGCACATCATATTTATTCACATCATATTTATTCACAACTGGATCTAAGAATTCATAATCATTAAATGAAAAAAATAAACAAATTCTATGTTGGCAAAGAAGTCAACTTTAAGGGTCTTTTTCCCTCCTTACAATCCAAATAAGAAAACTTGTATGATGTATATGTACTATTCCAGTAAAAGAGGTTGCTTGATTTCTGTTGGTTTCTAATGTTGCCTTGTTTAGACTGTACATCTTGACCCTACAGTTTGTACATTAAGTTTGGATCCTCTCCAGAGGACTCTAGTGCAACTTTTATCTAGTTCAGTGCCTTGCCAGGTTCATAGGAAGATATCAGTCTCTAGTCAAGCACTTCAACTAGGTCTTCTGATGCTATTAACTAGTACAGGGGAGGGTTTGGGGTAAAAACGGTGGTTAACAGCAATTTCCCATTGAAAAGGAGAATTACTCAAACCTATGCTTAGTCAAAGGACTCCCTTCATGCATACACAAAATTCAAGTACCAGTTTATTACTTTCAATGGATACTATTTTGTTTGTCGTTTTCTGTAATTTAAGGACACTATTCCATTTGGTCTTGAAGTGTGATCACAGGCCGCTTTTTGTTCATTATTCACTAGAAAGTGATCTCTTGGGCATGTCGATAGTAGAACAAGGTATGAATGTGGTTTCCTGACAGTATGTCATTCAATCCTTTGGGCCATACTTTCTAAGTGCAAGATTGATTATGTCCTTGATAAATGGTAAATTTCGGCACCAAAAGACAATGCATATATTTGAATTGATGATATTATCATTTCTCTTTATTCTTTTTCAACGAGGCTATGCTGGAGATGCATCTTGGATGCTTCACACTTATATTTAATTTGATATCGCAGCCATGGATTTCAAGGCCTTGGACTTCAAAATGTCTAACTCTTTTGTAGTTTGTTTCTTGTGAAAAGGAGCATATCCAAGATTTCTTTTGCAATTTCAGAAAGAATAATAAGTTCCCCAGTTTATTATAACTTAGACTGCACCTGAAAGACCTTATGCGAGTAAAGCATATTATAGATAGGGGAATGATGAGAGTTTCCAAAAATATCATGTGAGAAGTCAATATTATAAAATTCCATAGCAAGACGCAGGAAATTCCCTTTTAATATCAAAGAGGACCAAAAACAAATATAACTATATAAGAATCCAAATTTGAGACAACATTACAAACAAACAACTATGGAAAATTTGTATACCAAAATAAAATAAATAAATAAGATAGTGCAATTTGTTCTAATTCAGCAACAACCCTATGCCCCAAAACACTGACAGGTACAAGACTAGCCAAGACAACCGAATTCAAATTCAGGCAATATATTTAATAATCTGCTAAGCCCAAAGTACACTCGGTAATCCAACAAAAACAACATAATTCAAACAATTTTTTTATTTTAAAACTATAGAAGATAAGAGACAATCTAAAGAAATAGATATAAATTGACCTAATATAGAATCATCCCAAAATCTGAAATTGCATATGCTAAGGGAAGACAGCAACAACACTGGTTAAAATAATACAATGCAGTTCAGCAACATGCATCATGCCCACTATAAACTACAACATACATATCGATTAGAAAAGGAAAAAAAACCACAATATAGATATATAGACAGAGAGAGAGAGAGAGAGAGGGAGATATATATACATCTATCTGTCTGTATGTATGTACGTGTGTGTGTTTGTGCCTGTATATACTATGTAAAGTTGAGGCCCTAAACAATTAAAAACAAAGCAATATATGATGCCACATAGACCATTCTATCCAAATTAGTAAGTTGTGGAGGCATCACTACAGTAACAGGAGGAGGTGTTTCGCTGCCATTAAAGATGGGATTCTTTGGCTGGACCCGACCTGCCAGGTCTAAGTTTTGGACCCATACCCAGACCCAGGTTGGGTCATAGGGTGGTCGTTTGATCGGAAGACTTCTCGCACTTTTACTGCAGCATATTGGTTGAGAGCCTTGTGGGCTTGCCTAAGGACTGTCCTCATGTGCTCGTTTGAGGCTTGTCATCGATCATGTTGATTTCTTTATTGGACAAGACCTCTCTTTTGCTCTCCTCTTGTGGGGGTTTGGATCCTGTTGCATTTCACAGCCAGTCGAGCACCTCAATACGCATTCCCGCCCATCGTTGCTCATGGACTGCCGCTCTCTGAAGCTCCTTCACATGGGCCTTCTGTCGTTGGTTCACAAGGGCGATGAAATTAAGGCACACATCAAAAATTCACTAGAAGAGGTTGTTTTGATGCCCAAAAATCCTCAAATCGATCATCTCGACTGATTTTTCTAGACCGTCAATTTTAAAAAATTTTCTAGACCATCTCAAGCGTTGGAAATAGTACATCTTGGAATGCTTTTTCTAGACCGTCAATTTTCAAAATTTTCAAGTGTTCATGGATCTGCTCGATCTACACTATTTTTGAAGCTTTAACTTTTATAATTAGATATAAAAATAAATTTTCAGGCCATTATAAAGATTTCCAGTACTAAAACCTCATCTTTCGACATTATTTGTAGGTGCGCCTTACTTTGATTGTTTAGGGCCTAGGCCCTATACAATCCACATCCACACACACACACACACACACACACATATATATATATATATATGCCTGACATGGATCGGGTAGTCGTAGTCGGGCCGTCACGACGTACGGAACGGGG